TTTTAGGTGTATTCCATAACTGAATCTGACCGAGTGTAATTCTCTAATATTCACGAGGAATTTCGTTTCGACTTTTCACTACTCACTGACCCCTGAGTTGCCCTTATGTGTTTCTCTTAGCCATCTGAATATCCTGGAATCTTTTGAGCTCCGAGTCAGACTGAATCATTATAAATATTTTAAAATATTCCCAGCGCGTTTAAGGAAAAGTGAAAATATCTTCAAGTACCACACAGTGATGCGATATTAACAATAAATTGGGCTCGAAGCGTCATCCAGTTGTCAATACTGCATCTCTGTGTGATGTTCAAAAATAAATCTATCTAATGTGGAATTAATTACAGTCTACCACGATGTCTGAAATTATCGGTAATAAAAGTGAGTCTATCGAAAACTGTATTACTCTATATAATCATATTCATCCAAACATCCGAGTGACTTCCGAGCTCGATCTGAATGACAAACTCGGTTTCGTGGATATTTCAATGACCAGGAGAGCCGATGTAACGATTAAGCGATCCATACTTAGTAGACAGACATGGAGTGGATAATATCTTCATTTCACCGGTTTCGTTCCTATCCAGTATAAACGTTCCCTCATGAAATGCTTGTTTTCAAGGGCCCACAAAGTATGTACGAGCGACACATTGATGGGTGAGCTTCGACACGTACATTCAGTTTTATTAGCTAGTGGTTATCCAGAAAGCTTTATCAATTGTCACAGTGAGGATAGACCACATCCTGAAAAGACAGCTTCTGCTCCAAGGAAAGCCATCTTTGTTAACCTACCATTCAAGGCTGATCACATTTTGCGGTTGACGGCTCAGAGACTTCGGTCAGCCATCAAGCACGCACTCTACGTTGCATCTCTTCCCCCTCTGCATCTACAACATTTTCGATCCCTGTACCTACGATTAAAGGACGAAATTCACTGGACTCTACTTCAAACTGTATCTACAAGTTCATCTGCAGTTGTGTTGACATCTATGTAGGTAGAACCAATAGAATGTTCCAATGTCGTCGAAAAGAACATGTCCCATAATGACTATGAAAACATATAGTAAATCCCAATGTAATTAATCTGAATAGAAATCCATCATCACTCATTGAAAACCGCTTATCAATGTCAGGTCACAAAATCAATATTAATGACTGATTCATGATTACTTCACATAACTCTAATTCAAGGTTATTGGAGGTGATGGAAGCACTTTGAATTAATCACATACATCCTAAACTATGTGTACAAAAAACAATAGACTTCAACCTTCACCTACCATGGACTACTTGACTGTATAAATATAGACCAGTCATTAGTATGTACTTTTGTTTTATATGACTGAGTAATTGTCATGCATTCCATTTTATTATTGTGAACCATGTTACTTGTAAAGGGGTTGTAAAAAAACTAAGAAACTAATGATATCATCTCGCGAGACGTCTTTTCTAAATGTCTTATTCAAATTTATCACAGAGACTAATTGTTTGAATTTGGAATATTTTAAAATGGTTGAAATTTCATCGTTATGATATACATTGCCTAAAGCAGCAAAACATTTCGTCATCACTTCAAGGAACCGATATCTTGGAAATCCCATTACTATTTGACATGCGTTTCCGTCTACACACAAAAATAACAAGCTTTGGATGAATTACAGGATAGTAGGTTGTTCATTTGGATAAGTCTTTGCACATATTATTAAAAGAAAAGGCGTTCAGTGAAGAGTTACTCTTTTCGACGGTGTCATTCTCAAGCTGTACAATCTTATATATATATATATATATATATATATATATATATTTAATGGGAATTCCCTTATCGACCAAATAAATATTTCCAAAGATGTGTCATTAGCATTGTAAGTTTTAGACAAAAAATTTGTGTAGCAGAGAAAGCGTTGGTTGGGGCGAAACTAAAATACAATCAAAACGTTTATTTGAGTATCGCAATAAATTGATGGGGTTGGAGAGATTTCAGCTAACATTTGAGCGATAGTCAAGCTAACAGCAGTGCTTATGAGGGGTAGAAATTCAACTAACGTTGGTAGGAACATAAAAAGAAAAATTGAATATATGGTGTTTAGGTCTATTGTAGCCTCAATGGCGCTGAGTTAGCGCGAATAAAACCTGAAGAAAATATTGTTTACATCTGAACTGAGACTAACTTTCTCTACGAAACGAATGATTAGCTTGAATTTGAACGTGCAGGATAAGCTACCACAGCTTGGCTCATCAATGTTCACGCATGTCATCCATAATCAGAGTTCGCGAACTCAACGCATCGTTGAGCACTTTCCTTAGGGTTTTATAAGGGAGAAACTGATCCCCTTGCAGCTATACCTTGGAATACCTGATCGAATCTGGACACCAGGATAACTCACAAAGTCGCAGAGTTGGACACAACAGATGGTTAGTTATTCCTGACTCCTAACGATTCTCTAATTGATGTAAATTCTTGTGGGAATTCTCACTGAAATTATACAAAATTCTCGAAAAATGCTAAATTTGGTTGCCTGTGATATCAAAAGCTACAATTGAATGGATTATATGTTTTATCCTGTTAGTATTACATATACATAATCAAAGCAAGAAGAGTTTACACTAACAATTTTATGAGCATCAGTTTACGCCTATGCACCGAATTAATAAATGAAAACAAGGAATAAATCCATAATGAACCGGAAATAACTGGATATTCATTTCGCCGATTTGTGCACGATTGATGGAATTACTGGTGCGGTTAATTACATGTAATTTGAAAATATTTGCACATGTCCAGTGTTGATTGCGCTGTATCATAATATCGTAAACGTCAGTAGCGCTAAGTGCAATCTTCCTAAGTTTCCTTATTATGGAGTCACCTTTATCCATGTTTATACCACGACAATATTTAGGTAAACATGAATAGTTGAAACTTCTGACAGTTCTCACTCATTCTATTATGAGGAGTTCATGATTATGTCTTTCTATATGTGCTCATCGGACGAGTGTCTATATGTTACCTCCACTTCGTCCGTGGTGTTGGTTGCAATACACCATTAGGACACAGGGAACGCATTATTGTCTACGACTTATTGGACGAATTCAACCGTAGCCTAGTGACTGATAATTTCTGAATTCAAGCAGAAAATAAAATCTAAAATACGTTGCGAAATTGACAATAAGTCTGGTCAATGAACCAGATTTTGGCTTCTGAAATGGTGCGTGGTGAATTGAATTTATGCAGCATGAACATAAGCAAAGCACAGATTGTATGTCCCGAAGGTAAATAAGACCAAATCTGATGCCCACTTACCCCAGTTTCTAAGAAAAAGATTAGACTTAATTTAAAACTACTTGAGAAGGGGATTTAGATCCGTACAAACGTTATGTATGCTGATCAAAGTTATTGAATTCATGTTTCCCGTCACTCCTAGTGCTAAATTTTAATGCCAAATCCCATGATAAAAGTTACGTAAATAATCAGAATACACATAATTGCTCTAGTCAGAAATCTTTAAAGGAAATTTACACACCAGCATGATTAGTGTCTACGGTGGAAATCCTAAAATATTTCAATTTGCAGCAACTTACAAGACTTTCAAATACATATGTATTGCCATAATACGTTTACCCATTCATGTAAATACAATCAAAAGAATTAAGTGAACGTGAATTGTGTGTTGAAAATCTTGCAAACTCGTTCGCATGTTAGGCAGAAAGATTTAAGAAGAAAAGACTAAGATAATACATTTATTGTATACCTGTACACATCATTATTTATATTTATATATGAATATAAGCTGTGAACTTGGTGAATACAAGGAATACAAGGACGAGTTTTATTATACAAAACCAAAAGTAAAATGTGTGTAGATCGACTGTGTATTCACTTGTATCAACAAAGTGTATTACCAGAATGAATTGGCTTCTGTCTTTCATGATATTAAGCAGACAAATTCACCTTGTATCAGTGTACATCCATCTACAAAAAGAAAACAAAGCGAACTGGTCATCCTAATTTCAGACGAGAAAACAAAATCAGAATGAACATTGATACACGTGTAACGACGCTTGGGCACTGTGGTTGGTGTATGTAATTCCATATCAATTTGTTTATTAGATATATCACACAGTGAAACAGTATCATTTACCCGATGACGTTTCGAACACAATTCATTGTTCATATTGAAATTAAGTGATATGATTATGAAGAATAAATTGTTATCCAGTAAATAATACTGTTTCACACATTAATTAATTAAAACAGAATAAAAAAATTACTCATGAATAAATTTATTTATTTATTTAAAAACAAACAAATCAGAAATCAGAATAATCTGTCTAAGTGATTTCTCAAGACTCTTAATACATCTTAATATACCTTAGAATTGGTGAACGGTAATTTAGTTGGTTGACACTCAGAATGGTTGATTTGAAATCCTTCTGACAAATCAGTGTTTCGCTGAGACATTGGATAGTACTCCTTTATTGGAGTAGGTAGCTGGACTTATTGTTCGCAGTAAATCAAGTAATATGAGTTCACGTACAAACTACTTCACTGATAATGTTATTTAATTTATCGATGACGAAGCGATGAAGTGAAGTTAGTTTGTTACTGAGTTTAACTACATTAACTTCACAATTAGTGAAGTTGGAACGGCCTTCAAATGTTGGTTTGATTTGATATATTGGGTAACGATGACAGAAAAGAGAAACGCGGAACTCCAATTGATGCCTTCCTAATAACTACATAGACTATATTCCAACTAAGTTGTCAGAGACAACTGATGTTCCAGTTATGATTTAACTGAAATCAGAAAGCACTGCTTTCAGCCTCCATACGAATTAGTGACATCAGTAACATTAACCTAGTACTTATTCATCAGGTTCTCACCATATGACTAGGAAAGTCATTTCATATTTTGACCAAATTCACACCAAATGAACCAATTTCATTACTACTCAAGCACGAGAGAATCACGCAGCACACACTTATCTTACTTAATAACTCACTTTCACTATAAATGACTCTTCCTCACTGATGGTATATCCAAGGAAATCCAATGAAGTAAACCGTTGTACATGGTTTGTGAAGAGATAACACTGTAGTCCAATGTATTCAGTCCATCAATTTTAATACGTGCTGATGCGTTTTTTAACAATGCGTAGCTAAAAGTAAACGTATGAGAGGTAAAATTTAAGGTAGAAAAATGGCGTTTTGTGTATGCAATTACATTTCAACTTACATTATTAGGGAATTCATTCTGATCGACATGATACATGACTTCAAGGAGAGAATCACAGTTGTTATGAACAACGTACTTTACATGTGATGAACTGCTATGCTAACAGCCAAGGACTAATTGGCGAAATTGTATCCATTTTGAAGCCAACGTTTATAATGGTTGTACGGATTGTGGTACTGGCACAAAAATGGCCTCGTTTTATTGAAGTTATTGGTCACATTTCAGTTGAAGACTATCTTGTAAAGTGCATAATATTCGACAAACATTTTAACCTTCTAAACCAATGATGTGCATTTCATGATGCACTGCACAAGAAAGCACTTGTGTAAGCTATCAGTGAATCAATCTTAAAATTCAAAAGTGCATCGTCAATTCAAAAGTGTCAGCAAACACTTTGCTTTCTTTATAATATCAATAAAATCATAAAAACTAATAAATACCAGTTCTAAGGAGACATTCTCGGATTGTCAGACAGAGTTTAGAAATAACACTGAGATATTATCACAAAGCAGCTTACCGGTCTGGATTGACTTCATTCAACTTATCAGTGGCATGACTCAGTGTATAGTAACGACCAATATCTGTACTGATTCGAAATACCCCATATTTGGATTGACTAACTCGAGTCAATAAATCATCATCCTCACCACCCCATCCTTCATATAGGTTTGAAAATCCATTTATTTCCAGAAACTGTTCACGTGTAAATGCCACAACACCACCGAAAAAATCCCTATACAGTACTCTACACGAAAACAGGCAAAATCAAAATTATATTCTTACTATGATCACCTATAAATCCGATTCTTCGAAACAGACATTTTCAAGCCATAAAACAGTAAGTGAGCAAGTAAGAATGTAGGTAAGTAAGTAAGTGAGTAAGTGAGTATAACAATAGTCTCAGAGGACCCACCAAGTTTGAAGAACACAAAAGTAAAATAGTCAAGTCAAGTTATAACCTTCTGACTGCTAGAACGTGTTCACAACCATCAGTGGAAGACAATAGTAATCCTAAATGAAATTAGGTTGAAGGTAAACTTTTGACGTCATTCTGTCTGTTGCAGGACGTCTCTTCGGTGACGTTATAAAGTTGAATTCCCTGAATTCAACAAAATATCTCTTCACTGTTAAGGCTTGAGCAATGACACAGTCAGTGGAAAGAAAACCAGTTGAAGCTACAAATATTTTAGGTGTTCAGATTCGAGAGAATAGTGACTGATAGGCAGAGTTAAAAGTGACTCCAGTGTCGTGTGATTGGAAGTAGATGCTTTTTAGATGCTAATCGGCATGAAGCACTCATATCTTTCGAAATAGCAATTCTTGTGAATTGTGAAACATCTGACTGTCTTTCTTGACTTAGGTAAAATTGTGCATTTAAATTTGCACAGATAATTCAAATGCATCAAAGACCGAACTCCATTCATCGGTTGGGACTCTCGCCGACCGTGGACATAATCCGGGGTTTGATCCCCAGCCAACGGACACCTGATATCTATGGTCGGCCAGGAAAATTTTCGCTACTGATATCACATGCTGACAATTTCATACTTCTATGGAAAATACGGTATGTAATCAAACTATAATCAAAAATAAAATAAATGAAGACAGCGTATCCGTTGTCTTCAAACATTTTATAGCAAACACGTTTAGAAGCATGTTCTTAAGATACAGCCATACACAATTACTTATTGTCCGTGATTTAAGTGTCTGGCCACTGCGTTGATAGACGCAGGTTCGTATCTGGGGGCGTGCATCAGTTCCTTCCAGCTTGTGGGCACACATTGCTGACGAGTGTCAACGAGTGTCGCGAGAATCAGATCCATGGCTACTTTCCAGTCGCCTCCAGACATCTAAACCGATGTGGAGAGATTATCGCATGATTTTCAGATAATTGTGTACTTAAATAACCGAGTTCGAGCCCAGTGATCATAATAATGACAAACATAAACTCTGTTCTGAACTTGGATTCAAATGTAATGCAGTATACAGACGACTGGTATTTGTCAACTCCATTAAATGAGCCCTTTACTCAGAAAAGAATGTTAAAACTTTTGTGTCCGGATCTCTTCGGTCTGCCTACCAAGAACTACTAGTGTGCGCAATCGGCGTTCAATTACTGATATCCATCAGTCAGTGTCACTTTGCATGATGCGGTTACATCTCTCGTCATAATTACTCAAAGGAATTATTGATTCCTGTCACTGACACATTAAAAGAGGAGATAAAGTGGCGATGAAGGAAAACAAGAATACTCTGAAGAAGCCGTCATGTCCTTAATTTCTCCTACTTATTGAATACTTTCATAACTCGCTAGTAACTGAGAACAATAGTCTTACTCAATAAAAGTAAAATAGCTTGAATTCACATTTCAAAATTGTAACAGCTCGACATATGCCTCGTTTCTTTCAGCACATTCCCATTCTGGAAATTAGTCGCCACTGTAAGATGTGGGAAAATTTCAGGTGATAATAATTTTGAGGTTTATGAGAGTTAATGCAGAGGAATAATATTTTGTAAACAAATTTTGACTAGGATATAAAAGAGAGATAATCAACGTTTTTGGAGGGATTGGCCAACACATTTTACTGAGGATGTGACCGTGAATTCTATTTATTTGAATTGTGTGTTCAATGGAAATTCACCAGAAGAAGTAGAAAGTAAATCGTATCATATTTTGGTACTTTATTCAATGAGATACAGTCCTCTTTCACCAAAGAAAAGAGGTACACTGATGACTATCATTAAACATGAAGAAGAATATCGTATACTAGAAACTCAGGATTTCCATTTACTTAAATTCTACTCTAGAATCCAATCAATTTTCTCTGATTGCCTTTTCACGTGTACAGAAAGCATCAGAAAAGCATGGAATGAATCGTCCAACTTCTGTGAGTTTAATGGTTACCTGGATACACAAGGCTCAGTCTAAATAATTCCACACAGAACGAATCGAATGGCTGATCTCGCCACAGATAAGCAGTGACATAAAACTTAGAAATACCCTGTTTTTGACTTTCACACCCTTTTTACTATCACATTAATTTTGTGGAAACTGGCAAAAGTGTAACGTCTTGTAAGGTAACTTTGTGAATACTGATAGGTATAACTTATCATCTAGTGAAAAATATTAATTTTTTATTGAGTTTGGAAACTTTCAACTGACTTGTAATCATTCTGACTAAGTGCAGAGGAAAAGTGCGTCGGACGTGAATTACACGTATAAGTAAGACGGTCATCTTCAGGCAGTTTGTCCACATCGTGTAAAATGAAACAGCTATACTCCTGCAACTTTGAAACCTCAAGAAACCCAGCATTTAAGAGAGCACCACGGTTAAATTTAGTTTTACCGGTCTGCAAGAAAGCAATAAAGAAATCATAAATTTTACAACGCGGAGTCGCAGAGGAAAACAAGTACTTGTAATTCCTAAGGCCTAAACCCAACTTTTCTTCTGTCAACGTTGTGATAAATAACCTCTGAATACAAAAGTGCAGTGACAACATATTTGAAGGGTATCAATAGGATGTATGAAAACCTATGTAATCACCAAAATATATCTTTTGATAGTTAATAATATCCGAATGATTCTTCTGCAGAAACTCTCGCTTACACAGCGAAACGTTCGACGATATCTTGCTTCGATTTTTTCTCAAACACGCTGGAATTATTTTAAATCACCTACGATGACTTGAAGTGACAGTCTACGCTTGTTCTACTGTAATGACTGAAACTGATAGATTTGAACCTGAGAAATTCGAATGAGTCGCCTGTTTTCTCCTGTTTCCACGCTCCTATTTCATACCAGCCATGGGGGATAATGTTCAGGCAGGAGACCTACTCAGTGCAAAGACAACCCGGGTGAAATTTAAATTCTCTCTACAGAGACCTAATGTTTCATTCTCGCACAAATGATGCGTGTCAGAAGGAATAGAACTAAGTCTCTCGCCATGCGATTACTCGTTCAACGGAAACGGATAAATCTTTATTGAATGTTGAAAAACTTAAGAAAAAATTACAATGAACTCCAAAATTACAGAAATTCCATCTGTTCAGTGACCTACACGACCTTTTGTGATTAGAATTTTCCCTTTGTCTAATCAAGAATACTTGTTAGTGTCAAGGTGATGGTATGTGAAAGCGTAGTCTGTGTTCATAACTACACAAGATCTAGGCAAAATGGGAAATTGTTTTGAGAGTAAGTTCTTAAAGTTTGAACGAGAATGTGTCATCTAGTAGATCTCCTATTTTGTATGTTTATTGAAGAAAAATATTAGTACGCCAGATAAGTACATTCAAAATAACGCACGGTGATCTAGTATTGATGACTGGGTGTCGCTTCGACTACAATTCAATGTTCATAATCGTAAGAATGCAGGACTATGTAGGGCAATTTATCGAGTCGTGTGAATGCATTGGTAAGATGAATAAGAGACTGTCGTCGAAACGTCATCTAGTTATTAACACTGTTTCACATAGGGTTACATCGAATACATTTTTATGACATAGAATCTCACACTGCGACAGCGCTGAAATTCCGCTCTTACAATAATGGGAACAATAGCTTTATACTTCTATATATTATTCATAATAAACCTACCTGTTCAATCACGAAAATGGTATATGGTATTTTTTGGTGCCTTATAAACGCATGTAGATGATTTGTTACAATGCGTAGGTGTTCATCGCGATTACGATATGGAATGATTATAGCTGATGACATGCTAGTAGAACAACCCATTGGAGTCCATATTTTAGGTAAACTGTGCTTTTCGGTGACTTTTTCGCTTTCATCACTTTCATTTGATACACTTGTAACGTTTGGCAATGCTGCATCATATCTAGTGTAAAGTGATCCAAATAAAGGTTTTAAATCGGAATTTTCTGCTGAGTTGTTGAGCACAATGTAATCCCTTGGCTGAGAAGATGCATATTTGGCTTCCAACTGTGGCCAAGTTAGTAGATTCAGAGATGGCTGTAGACGACCCACTGAGGATATAGAAAGAGAATTTCTCTTCTGTTTATTTCATAAAATAACGTGAAGAGTGAAGTTACTTCTATCATCAGAAATGATTGATTCATGCAAATTGGCCGCGTTTTCCACAAACCCAACTTCTAGAAACAGATGAGGCTTGGCTTTGCATGAGATGAAGCTAGAAATTTGTGCAATAAGGAAGTATGTACAGCTGCCTTTCCATCTCGGCCTTAGGACAGAAAAGAGCGACACAAACACTTGTGTTTTTGCCTGTTAAATCGCTCTTTGCATCCTTCCCTTATTACCACCACTGTTACTGTGAATTAATTTCACTTTGTGACAGTTTCCATCACTGTTTTACTTCTCTCTTGTAGTAAAATCATGCAACACTTTACTTCACCCTACTTCTCAGCTCCCTGAGTAGTGTCTCCTTTCGTCTATTAATCTTACTAGTTTTACACACTTTTCGAAGATTTCTGCATTCCATGCACGATTTTGTGCATGATGCAATTTACCTTGTTGTCTTTGGATGTTTAATTACAAATATAATTGGGAACATTTGATGATTGTTAGGGGCATACCGATCAATCTCACCAAACATCTACCTGTCTATTGAGTTCATATGAGAATTCAAGAAGGTGAAACGGCAAGTGAAATAAAGAAAATACTGGAGTATTTAGGACTAATCGGAATATTAATTGACAATACTCTCGCCAATTTAATCCAACAAGGACTACTAATGGGGTAATGTGCGAAATTTGACGGCCCCTCCCAC